TCTCTCTTGTTAGACATCATCTCGAGCATGTAATGCATCTATGGTCCTATGAAACCCAACCCTCTACTACCCTAAATACGTATCGTTCTCTATTAGTTATAAACACACCTGCTGTTTATGGACCTATGAACAATTTGAAAAAGTTCTCTTACCGCTGTTTTGTCCGATCGAACATTCTAAATATTTTGATTGCTCCTCCATTAGTTTTTTTTCCGAGTTGATAGTCGAGCATCAAATCTTCCGGTTACGTAGAATCGTCTTTTCTGAACGAAAAAATTGAATTTTTGTATTTTCAAAATTTGACTTTCAAATCAAATCGATTGCGATTATCATAATTAAACTATACGGGACTTTTTGAATATAATGTTGAAATTTAATTGGATTCTTAATAAGGTACGTATGAGATGACAAGTTGTGAAACTATGTTCTATACGCAGACGCGAAAGGTATGCTGGTTTGCATAAACAGAATTAATTATAAACGCAGAACTTAGTTTTGTGGCATCGTCGTCACCTTCAACTTCCCTTAATCGTTATTCTAGTTACATCACAACGACCGTGCTTATATCTAACGTAATTTTCGCACAAACATGTTTTAAAATAAATGTAAAAATTCTACCCATCATACATGTACATGTATGATATATATATTTACTAAATTTTTGTAATAATTTCTAATATATTTACTAAATTTTTAATAATTTCTTTGTTGTTCATTCTGCTCAATTTGCATTAATATTTTTTTCTTTGATAAAATCTATTAAATTGCATAGAATTTGTAAAATAAACGTTGCATCTTTATGAAAGCATATATATATATTTAAATATCAGAATTATAATTAAAGCAGTGCGAACATATAATATAAATATTGTTACAAAATGTTGTAAGCACATTAAATATCGTTTTAGCTGCAGAATATTATATAATGACTGCAGAATATTATTAATATTATAGCTGCAGAATATTATTAATTATAAACAAAATAAATGTAAATAACACTAAAACAATTCTTTATACCTGATAAACTGAAAATACTAGTTAGAGAATTAATAAAAACTCTCCAAAAAATTCAATATTATCCAATATTAATTTAAATATCAATAATTTATATGTAAATATTAAAAAACAGATTAATAAAACATATCAATAAATATCAACCATCTCCTCTTCCATCTTTATTTTCTATTGTTGTTGTATCTATATTTTTAGATTTATTAAGTTTTTCGTCATGATCGTTTGTTAACTTATTAGTTTTTATTGTATCACCGCAAGATAGATCATCGTAACTTTCCTGAATATTATCTATCGCAGTAGTTTCTTCTTCGCAATCTTTTAAAACTGGAGGAGTGATCGATTGTTTGACTTTCGGCATGTCTTGTATTTTCCGTACGTCGGTACCATGAGACACCTAAACAAAATTACAGATTGTATGCCAAAGAAACAATTGCATGCCAAAAGATTTGCAGTTAAATATCGGGAAAATTTGGTAAAAATATTCCAACTAAAATAAAGGAAACTGTGTATTACCTGAAGAATTACTTGTACAGGTTCGCGGTTTTCTAGACTTCGTAATGAATTACCTTTTTCATTTTTTCTCTCATGACTAATTCCAAATTTGAATAATGGTCCCAAGGCTAAATTAAATGATGCGCCAGACAGAACAAATGGTATCATTACTATAACAATACCTACACTTAAAAACAGTATACATCTTATAATCCATCCATATATCCATGGCAGATTATCTAAAACAATAGATGAATAAGTAATATATCAATTCAATTGTTGGAATGTAAATATAAATAAAACTATTCACTTACCTGTAGCATTACTTACGAAATCAGATACAGCAGTTCCTATGTGTGAAACTGGATGAAGTATGATAGTAGAAATGAAATGTGATAATGCAAATGCAGGTGTAACTTTTAGTTTTGGATTAGACATTATTGTTTGATAATATTTCTCACAATCGTCATTAACTATGCAACAATAACAATAATATTTTAGAATATTCTTTAACGTATCAAAATAATATATACTTACAAAAGAATGAAATAAATTTCTGCCATAAACTCATCTTATCTGGTTGACACGAAATTGGTACCTCTGAAAATTTCATTTGTGCAGCAATGGACTTAATTTCAGCTTCCTGTAAAGAACATATTACGACTTCAATTAAAAAATAAAAGTAAAAATTAAAAAAGTGTTATTATCAATTAATACTATTTACCTTTAAGAGTTGCCACCAAGTCATAAAAAAGCTCAAAACAAGAATAATTTGTATGATATAAAAAATGGGTAGTCTTTGCCCCCGTCTTAGCATTTTAAATGTGAAACAAATTATTAACATTATAAATATAATTATAGCACCATCTGGCTAAAATATTAAATTTACAAAATTCTTTAATATAAATGTATAAATCAAAAATATAATTAAACAACAAATATTCTTACATGTTCTTGTACTGTCTTAAGTATTGTTTGAAAACCTTTGTGTAATACATCACACATGTATATAACTCCAAACATATAATTATAATGAGGCTGCTGTATTATATTACTCAAAATTTCATCAATTTCTCTTAGAGATGTTTTTTGAACATGAAAATTTTTGAGTATTTCTAACTGTGAATGGGATACTTCAATCTGTATTGATCCTTTTATTAAAACTTCATTCTCATCCTATTTTCAAAAAATAAAATATATTTAGCTTACTTAGATAAATTTAAGAAGTTTTATTGTAGATAAAATTATTCTATTACCTCTATGCGAATATTCGATAATAATAAATTAATAAGACGCTTATAAAAGATTGCTTCTTGATTACAATGATTGATTACAGGTTTATAAGGTGACAGTTCGTTCTTAACTTCATTTCTTTGAATACTGAAAATATTAATATTTATAATATTTTAATGTTTATTAGTTTGATATCATGAGGATTCATTATTAACATAAATTATACATACAAATCACATTTTATACATACGTGTCTATCTCTATATCTTTGGTCATAGTTTTACTGTATTTATCATAAAAAAATGAATGTGGATCTATTAATTCTTCTGAATCTCTGTAAAATTATATAATTATATTGTTTATGTACTATTTATTTTATACATATAATTAATAGATTACTTAATTTTAGAAATAGAAGCAATTTATTGATGTCCTTACCTTATATCTTCAAAGAAGTTCTCATTTTCATGTTCGCAATGAACAATTAAGATAAATGCAAACACATGACTTAATATAAAAGTAAATTTGTTTGCAAGTTTCATTCTGAAGAAATATACAAATTCTAAATACAATACTCTCAATTGAGGTTTATATGCTAAAATTGTACTAAAAATATTGATGTCGTCAATTGTTTCATAACCTATATTTTATTTTCTTTCGAATATACTTTATGCATATGGTATAAAAAATTTATATTTTAATAAAGTATAACTGAGATTTACATGTGAGATTTACTTATTTCATTAAAATTATAAAATTTCACAAATTACACAGATAAAACAGTATTACCATATTGTGATAATATAAAAATACCACACGTACAAAATGGATAACAATCAACTCTCATTGATTCAATAAATTTTACCATAAATCTACGTAAAAAGTAAAAAAGTAAACAATTTTAGAGATAAATATGTACTATTATTATACTAATATAATGTAACAGAAATAGTGTATAAATTATCTTACGTTCTATAATAATAAATCATAATTTGAATTTACATTTCAATCTAGGTATGTTTTAGTTTCTCTGTTGTATTACATGTAAAATTGATATAATAAATTTATATTTAATAAAAATAAAATAACATCGAGAAAAATATCATTGATATTTGATTTTTCTTATACTTTATTTTCCTATACTTATATTTCTTTACTGTTAATAATGAAATTTAAAATAGTTTTATATAAATTAGTGTATTTATTCGAGCATATATTGTACGTTATCAGTGCATGTAAGTAAACAAAAAAATCACTATCAAATAAATGTGTTTTAACACAACAAATTTTAAATTTCTATTTGTCTTTGAAGTAATAAATAAATCACAATTATTGTATTTTTCTCAATGGTTTAATTTATTATCATTGCTTTTTTACTTTCTTCAACTGCTTATATAAAAATTTTTGAAATATTTGTTTATTAAGATAGTGAATACAATATTTAAATCATTATATTCTATACATTTTATAATTAGATAATCAATAAAATTACTTAGAAAAATGTTATTTAAATGCGTAGAATTATATTTAAAATTTTGTACTTTTGTTATAATGATTTAATATTATTCATTAAATATGATAACATGATATATAAAAAATAATAATTATTCCTAAAATATATTTAATTATTTAAAGTACGTAATTTTATCTATACTTTTGTTAATTTGTGACGTATTATCTGTAGAAAATATGTCGCGGTACAAGTGTAATGCAATACATGTTACATATGTTTCAATACAAGACAATTCGTTCTAAAAATTAAAATGGAAGTTTTAAATCATGTTGATGAAAGGTATGTTTTTTTTTTTTTACTAACTTCTGTAATTTTGTAAAAACGATATAACCATAAATCCGAGATATTGTTAATATATTATTAACAGAATATTTTGGTTTATTTTTATAAATTTAAGGAAGATATATAAAAATATTTATTTCGTAAAATGTTTCGTTAAATCAAATATATATTTTTGTCTTATATAAAAATTGAAAATATAAAACTTTGATGTATGAGGTTATCTTATCCAGAACATAATTTCAGTTATATCGTTTAAAAAGCTTTTAATTAATTTGATACTTTTCTAAATATATATTTTATAGTGTGGATGAAAATACAATTAGCAATGACAATGTCGGCGTAGTTTTAGAAGAAGCAGAAATAATAGATTGTGATACAGAAATAGAAACTATCACAGAAGAAGACAATATACAGTATCAATTATGTGAAGTAAATAGAAATGATAATGCAGTGGCATATCGCGTGGTACAAGTCAGTGATAATCATACAAATAACTCTGAATTATCAATAGCTGCACCTATAAATAATACTGTTCAAGTTTTGACATCGCCTATAAATGGTCAGTTCTATGTACTTAGTAATGGTAATGAAGTAGTTACCTCGGAAACTACAAGAACGGTTGCACCACGTGTTAAACTGCAAATAGACAATCCACAAAACATCCTTACAACTATTAAAAAGGTAGCATATTTTGTAATGTATATCTTGTAAAAGTTGTTGAATAATATTAATTATTATTGCATATATGTATCCTATATAGAGAGATGAAAGAAGGAGAGTAACACATAATGAAGTCGAAAGACGCCGTAGAGATAAAATTAATAATTGGATTTCAAAATTGGGAAAACTTTTACCAGAGTGTGAACAAAGTGCTACAGGAGATGGAGATTTAAAAACTAATTTTGAGTTACAAGTAATATAGTATATGATTTTAATACATTTACATGTATATTATCTGGTTTATTTCGTTATGATATTCTAATTCCAAGTATTGATTCGAGTTTTCTATTTACAGAGTAAAGGAGGAATTTTAGCAAGAGCATGCCAATACATTACAGAATTGCGTGACATACAGGAAAATTTTCAACAAAGTTTAGATGAAAATGCTCAATTGTTAGAAGAAGCTAGAACTCTAAGGCAAGTAGTAAATCAATTGAGGAAAGAAAATTCAGAATTAAAAGATCAAATTGCAAAAAATTCAACTTATATACTTGGTACCTAATTTTTGTGAGTATCTATAGTAAATAATAATAGATAGGTTTTCCTTTTATTAAATATCTTTTCCTTTAATATGATTTTATTCAAAGTATATTACCTTCTTAAGTAAAAAATAATCTATAGGAAATGCATACAGTTTAATATAATAAAATAGTAATGATGTAATTATAAAATGTTTATTTACATATATTTAACTGAGTATATATTTATATTTTGAAAACAATTGTAAACATATTATGTAATTTCAACTGTACATATCATGAACAATAATTATTATATAACGTGAACAATCGAGCAAAGATAGTAATTTATTATTAAACCATTAAATTAAATATACAAATATACAAAACATTGTGCCATCAATCAATAATTGATCTTTATCCAAAAGTTATATGTCATTCAGTTTTAAAGTTCCTTATTACCTAGAACATGTTGAAATTTCCACTAATGAAGAGTTCTACAATATTTACACTTATAAAATACAATATCTACTTATTTACATGAAACAAAGCGATACATTATTGTATCAATTTTTTTTCAAATATTTCAAAGTGCAACGTGCACGTGCATATTAATGACGTACAATTACAAAATGTGCTAATCATCAATATGCACGTGCAACTATTTACGTTAAATGCAAGGGAAAATATATGCATTCACATACATATGCAACAGCCTAAACTGTTATTACTGTAACGCCTAGTAATATTATTGCTTTAAAGCACATTATTTTGACGTTTGTGCAGAATAATGTCTGTTTCAATATTTCAGAGTAATAATACAAATTTTCCAATTTATAACTACAGAAAGAGTATGTATCAAATTATTAATTATATATTTACTAAATTATGTGTCTTTGTTAAGATATGTAGAGTATGGTCAATATGGGAAAAGAAGAAATATTATAATATTGAAACTCCTTTTTTTCATTTTGTAACTAATGTGTCCATAGAATATTTGCAATATTACTCTGATAATGTATAGAATTTTTATTTCTTAATTGATGTGAATTAGTGAATGAATGAAAAGTTCTGAGTTGTGCGATAGTATGCGATATTATCGTTTCAGCGCTTATAATTAACGTGTGATATTTCTCTTCTTACATTTAGTCACATTGGCCATTATATATAGTTGTCCTTATATAACAATGCTTATAGAGAAATTGCGTTCGAACAAATAAATTTGTTCTATAAAAATAACTCTTAAATGAATTAGGTCCAGCAACAAATGTATCGCTTCTAGTCTACACATCAATGGTTAATGATCTCTGTACAGTTGAGTAGGAATCTTGTTCTTTCACTTTATCATATTGTCCTCGTCATATAGTAAATACAATGCCAGAAAATAAGCAAAAATATACTTCTGTGTATTGTTTATGTTTCACAAGTTTTATATTTTTCTCCTTCTTTTTTTCTGTAAAATTACATTCGAAGATAAAGAGTAACAATTATTTTTTTTTTTTTTTACGAACGTATATTTTAAAGAATGTATCTATGTGCATTAAGATGAAAACTGTCAGAAATAAACAAAAAAATATTTAGTAAACATATTGGCAGTGTTGAAAACTTTCACAATCGGTGGATTAGTTTGTTTTTAAAACATTAATTGAATTATAGCACATTCCGTTAATTTTTACACACAAAACACAGAGGTTTTTGCTAGCTGACTGGCTTTCATCATGATATTCTCATAAGACTTTTCTGTACAAGAGTAGAAAAACTTGAATGATATCTCAGATGATTCTTTTTTTTCGTCTAGAAACTGCTACAGTAGCAGTAGAAAAAAAGCGTGATATGCGAGTATTTACACGTTTAGTGGTATGCATGTACCTATATCATTAATACTGTCGCTCCATATTCGACGTAGAAATATAATTCTCCGTCCATTTACCAAAAATTTAAAACCTTCGTACAAACTACAATGAGTACTATGATTTACTGCTTCAGATGAAATGACGATAATTGTAGGCAGTAAAAGGGCGTATTGTGAAACAATTTAAGAGCCTTTTCCTTTTGATGAATATGTGATACGTTTTTTATGAATATGTGATACGTGTGATACGTTTTGCTTCACTGAGAGAAAATTTCAAGCTATGATATTTGTGGTGAACGTTGTTTCTTTTCATCTCAATGTGCGTTCTAGAAGAGACTACCTAAATGGTCATTAAACTAGTAATGTAGTTTAAAGATTCTTCACTTTGAAATTATAAATGTATCTATCTAGTTAAGCGAAATTCTGTTACACTTTGCCCATACTTTTCTCTCAGTGCTACTTTTCGTATTCATTTGCTTCGTGGATCTCTGAGAAACAAACATTTCTCAATCAGTCTTTATTACCATAAAAAAATCAGTGACCATTGCTAATCCAACCATTGCTCATCACAACATACAAGTAGTTACATTCCAATAATGCTATAGTTTATCACTAGTCTTTTATGCGATTCCTTGATAAGAGTGACTAGTACTTTCTCTTTAGTACCGCAAAAGCTCGCTATCGGCTTTACACATAATATTTATATATGTCTAGTAGTAAGTGCATTCATTTTTCTAGTTTATGCAAGTTTTTTTGTTCAATTATATTTTCAATCTTGATCCACCTCGAGACTTATCGTTTTTCCCTTGAACGTTCAAATTTCTCGCATGGTATTCTTTTTCATTTCATAATATCATTCGTTTCATCTAAACGTGGCTTGTACACATACTCTCCTTTATATGAATTACGCTTTATTAGTAATATTTCTTGCGGTTATACTTTGAACAAACAACAATTTTCTAAAACCAACTAATTAATAATACCTTGTCACTCCGTGATTGTAGTGATCTGTGTGATTGCAAGACGGCAGAGCACAGAATATAGAAGAATCTCGAGGCAGTGAAATAAATATCGCCAACGATGCAAAGTTACACTTTTTTTTGTTTTTATCGAACTGCGTGTGATTTAAATTAAACAAGAATTAACTACGCTCGGACAGACGAAAATCGTAGCGTTTCGCTACCCTGTTAACAGGACGTATTAATATTATTGGATCGATAACAATTCAAAGATAAAACTTAACGATCAGATAAATAAAATACCTTCGTTCCATACATATGATAGGCGCTTGTTATCGTTTGCTTTCGCGCAGATTAAAACAATCTCCATTTGATCATTCGAAAAGTGTTCTTAAATGTCGAAACATCGAAGAAAATCGGATAGATCAGAAGATGGGAAGAAACTTTTTGAAAAATATTTCTTCGAATGCGTAAATCACGGCCGCGAAGCAACGATTAAGCGCTTGTCTGCAGACTTTTACAAGTCAATGTATGGCACGAAGGTAGGCCTGTCTCAGGACGGCTGAAGTCGTGTATTTTTCTTGCTGCTACCGAACGTGAACCAAGTGCCAACTTTACGTCCTAACGAATTTGTCGTGGCTTGCCCGATCATTGTAGGCATTTCGTAAGCCGACTCTCTTTTGTACGTTTTATCTGTAATTATTCAATCCCAACGATTATAATAATATCATAGGTTTAAACGTACTTGCTGCGAAGGTTCAGACGAATAAATAATTATTGTACGTACTACGAGGTTTAATTGGCGGTCTGTTCTGCTGTCTCGTGGCTGCGAGCCTGGCCAATTGTCTGGCCGCAGCAGGAAACTCTAATCCGTCGTTTCTGTCCTGAGCAACCAGCCTTCGTTCCTCCGCCATGGCTGCCAACCATCGACGCTTTTCTTCCGCTGTGCGACAGCAGAACAACAACCATTTATCTCGGACACAGCTGTATACTTTCAAACAGTGCCTTACTGTTACACCTAGTTGGTGATCTGTGAACAGACGTTACAATTAACTTACAATCGGGTATATTAAAAATTATTAATTTACCAGATGAATGGACAGGCGTTTTGAAAATTCACCTTTTCCATCGGGAACATCGATCACTTCGCTCGTGTCGAGATAAATTCGCCCCTTGTATACGTAAGTATTTCGCTTTAAAATATCCTTTTTACAATACACTAACTGGTGATCGAACAGGAAAAGGGTAATATTGTTTGTCCACATGCCAGTGGTAACTCTTACAGCTTCTCCTTGATAAATTAATTGGGACGAAACTTCTATGAGATCTTCACCCTGTAGCATCAAATTGTAGCACCATCGTTTAATTAATATCGTATAAATTTTACAAATTTTATAATGTTTTCTGAGATTCGTACCTCCCATCCTTCAACTCTTAGCTGCCACGCAGCCAGTTTTTCCAGGCTCTCCATTCGCCTCTTCCTTTCGTTAATCAAAACAGCAACATCTCGCATCGCTTCAAGAGCTTCTTGAATTTTATGATAATCCGGATGATCGGTCTTCGTATATTTCAATAACTCCGCCAACTGGAGCGGATACTTGCATATCCGTTGCACAGGCGTCAGTAAATACCCGTCTAAAGGAATTTCTATCAGTCCTCTCATTAACCTACAAGCTTCGAAAAATTTGCTGTAACGATTATGCTGGTACAATTCCTGCAACGTGGCGGTAGCCATCGGATGACTGTTGCAGTACTCCGAATACATACGGAATCCCGCTCTCTGAAACAATTTTAAACATCACGAAAGTCGAAGCAACCATTACTATCGAAACGAAAACTAACAACAAGTAATTTCGATATCCTTACGTGAGTTAGGAAACACTCGCCCACGCAGCTCTTGTACGGGGCACTCCAATCGATCCTAGTTTCCAGATCCTTCAAAAATTCAGATTGAAAGTCCAATAGCTCCTCGAGGTTGATGAAAATCGTTTCTATTTGCTCATCGGTGAACATATCTGTGCGCCGGCGACATTCAGCTATGTAACCTTCCGCAACATCCCTCAGTATCTTAACGAAATCCCGTTCGGTTTGAACCAGTTCGCGAACTACGCTCGTTCTGACTTGCTCGTTCGATAATAGCGAAACACTGGTACGTCTTCTCAGTTGCGAATTTGACGTACCACCAGAGGCCATCGCCGCTAAACAATCCTCGACAGTATCTTCTTGGCTTACGCGTAACTGAAAACGTAAAACTCTTTGCAAACACTGTAAAGTTAGAGATATTTCAATCCACGAAAGTATTGAGAAAAGTTATAACTTTTATTTTATTTTATTTTACTATTTTCACGAGTAATAAAATATTCATGAAATTTTGCTTAAAGTAATGGCTCGGTGATTGTTTTAAAATGAGATATATTAAAAGAAGGAAATTGTAATATTCCTAGTGTAAAGTTTTTAGGAGAAATCGGTGATATACCCTAACAAATGCAGCCGGGAACCAGCCATGCTCTCCTCTACAACTACCCCACCACCAGTCTTTGTCCAGGTTGTCCAAAACTTCGATCACATCGCCAGCACGAAAAGCCAGCTCCTCTGGCTCCATTGCCACGTGGTCCCAAACAGCTTCAGCCAGGATTACCACCTCTTCGTCCATCGTCTGCTCGAAGGACTTCTTTCTATCCGTCAAGGAGGCGATGGAGGACTCCGAATCAGACATCATCTCATCGTCAGACGTTCCACCCCTTCCATCCTGTTCGTCCTCAGACAGAACGTTTCCACCGGGCAACCTCGCGCCTGATTTTAAACAAAACGATCCTTGTTTTTATTCCGAGAAGAAAGAAAACGATAGCTCGCACACGACTCGAAAATCTTTTGTATTTTCTATCTCTCACTGGATCTGTATCGCACTTTGCTTTCGCTTCGATGCTTAAATTTATAATACGTGAAAAACAATCGATATATACGAAAAATCACCCTGTAGGTATCCATGGTAGGCTTGCTGGCGTTGGCAGAGCGGAAGATTAAAAAATCGTTTATCACGTTTCATGGGAGTAATTGTTTTTTTTTTTTTTTTTTTCGTAGAGCTTCACGAAAGCTTCACGCAGATTGCCTGGAGAAATATTCTTGAAATACTCTCGATAAAGGATTCCTTTCAATTGTTGGAAAATTACGATCTGTTTCAAATTACCGAAATATTTCGTGAAACTCTTCAACGGTGATTACTTTCTACTGCACCTTGCAAACAAAAGCGTATATTCACAGGAAGCAATCCTTACAGAACGAAGATATCAACACGTTTAATACAGGAGTGTTCCGCATTCCTTACTGTTAAGAACTCTTCTTACAGGTGCGTTTTGTTACAACGGTGTGTATGCTTTGAGATTTTTTTTTTTTTTTTACAAAGGGTGCATGCTAACTTGGAGCACTGTCGGAAATGGTGTTCTAAAGAGAAACTGGATACCACTGGAGTAGAAAGAATGTGCACTAATCTTCGTCAACGGGTTCGCTACCAGTGTACTTTCGTACCAAGCAAACAAGCAATATGCTTCTTTCCGAAAAAAGAAACGAAAGAAGAAGAAAAGAGAAATGGTCGCATATTTTTTTTTTCAAAACAGTTCGTATCTCGAAAATTCAAGAATTCAGTGCTGCATCGTGACAGTGAAACAGCGTGTAACTATAGCTAACTTGTAGTGTATAATGTGAACAAAAAGAAAAAAAAAGAAAAAAAGAAATTAAAAATTACTTGTTTGCTTGGAAGGAAAGAAAGGAAAATATGTGGTCTACGTTAGAACTCAAACAATTATTAACAAGTTAACGCTCGAGTCTGGAACAAGTGTTAGTTTTACCTGCAGTTTTGGTGCGCATCAAGGGTGATAGCTGATTGATACCCAGTGGTTGACTAAGTGAACGCCTCAAATTTGTCCGAGAACTCCTCCCTTTCGCGTTACTGGGACCAGAATAAAATCGTCATTAATTTTTCTTTTTGACTACACATGGTCAGATAAAGGATTAACAAGCTTTGTGTTTACGTAGAAGCATCGATACAACATTCAGCAACGATTTACAATAGGTAGATATATATATATATATATATATATATGTATATACATACGATAAGATATATACGTGTATACAGAGTGGTTCTGTAAATTGTCCTACCTAAAAAAATTGCTCCTTTCTTTGTTCTTATGTTTCCCAGCCGTAAATAATGTTTCGCATTTTTTTTTTATTTTAATTAATTTTTCTGTTCTTAAAAGATTTTAATATTTTAATGGCGAAAGATTTTAAATTTTAAAATTTTAAAGATTATAAATTTTGAAAGATTTTAATATTTCTCCCTAGACTTGGTATTTAAACTAATGCTTTCAATTTATGAATATTATACAATATTGTGAATGATAATTGAAGATCTTTAAATGGAATCTTCTCGTCCCTACCACTACTTACTGTAAAAGAAATTTCTGTTTAAAAAAAAAAAAAA